GACGCATAGACGCATAGACGCATAGACGCATAGACGCATAGACGCATAGACGCATAGACGCATAGACGCATAGACGCATAGACGCATAGACGCATAGACGCATAGACGCATAGACGCATAGACGCATAGACGCATACACGCATAGACGCATAGACGCATAGACGCATAGACGCATACGAGTATAAATACACAGTATACGCAGTAAGTACTCCTACTTACTGTGTATTTGTGCATGCACAATGGCGTGCGGGCTATGTGTTGCAGCGGTGTATTGAACGGTGTTGAAGTGAAGTTATTAGGTCAAATCAAACATTAAGACTATTGCTGGTACTGTAGTAGTAGGCTACTGACAAGTTGTATTTATTATTATTAACCATCATTTTATTATTGAAACGGTCCAAGTGCCTGTGGGTATGACTGTCGAAACTTGTTGCAGCGCCACGGTTGTGACGTCACGCACGGTCGCTTCTAGAACGGATCCTCCTGCGTGTGATCGTCGCTCCGGTATCGCTACCTATTAATTTGAGCGTAGGTGCGCGTGTCTATGAGCTACCTTATAAGAAGCTGCCTCGCGCTGCTGCGCGTGTAGACATCAGACTCGCGTATATTTGCCTACACCCATCGTTCCCACTCTACACCGCAGAGTCGCTAATCCAGAATCCGGCAGGGGACGCGTGATTCTATGAAGCGCCGGCCGCCTCTTCGTCTATAATGTTTGCGTGGCCTCGTTTCTCAGAGAATCGCTGAAAAGGTGCAAACAGTATAGGACGCTGATGACATAACACTCGAGGCGACGCGCGCGTGACCGCCGCGGTGACCTCGCAACAACTTCCGCAGTCATATCCGCTACAGGCAGCAAAGACGGTGGAATCGAAATGGGGATGAGCGTCGTGGGCTTGTGTGAATGCTTGCCGTTGTGCCGAGTCCGTTCTACTTCTTCTTGAAATACCTGGTTGCTTTCGCGCCTTTGTATTCCACTCTCTGCAGACAGAACGTTAATGCCGTGTAAAGAAAAGATATTAAGGTTAAGATATTAAAGAAAAAATGTAATGGTTTGCATCGCGGTTCACTCGATTTAGAAACCGACAAAGAAAAAAACGATAGGAACACAGAGAAAGCCATTCAGAAACGAACACGCGTACACATGCAGGCACATACTGTGTCATACAGGTAAAAAAAAACGCACGCAACCAAGAAAGAAAGAGAGAGAGGGGAGAGGAAGGGAGATGTATAGAGATAGCTAGATCGAGAGAGAGAAAGAAGTAGACTGAGACAAAGAGCCGGAGACCGGCAGAGGGAGTGGGGGAGGGGAGAGGGATGGAAGAGGGAGGGGAGAATGAGAAATAGCGCTCCAGTACGATATCACTAATGAAACAGACGGAGGGAGGAGAGATCGGACCGAGCTACAGTAACATGATGCTCGGGGATGGAGATGGAAGCCAGAACTCATGACTAACCACAACGAGTGATCCGTCCGGCATGACCTCCCTGATGATGAGATCCTTCTCGCCGTCCTCGCCCACCTCCTCAGCGATCAGCTTGTTCTCGTCGCGCGTGCACGTTATCTGCAACACGACGTCGCCATGTTATGCCAGTGACGCATTTCAAAGACACCGCAAGATACATACATGCACGCACGCACGCACGCACGCACGCACGCACGCACGCACGCACGCACAAACACTTAACAATAAACCTAATTCCGCGGGGTGGAATAAGTTGACAGTGTACTCAGTCACCGTGCTTGAATTCTCTCAGATAGATTAAGGCATTTTCGTATACTCCCAGTTTTATAGCCCGACTCTCTTCCACGTTTAAGCGGTTATCATATTCTCTTACATCCTCTTTTATGCAGAGCTGGCCGCTCGCACATCTTTTCTATAGCATTAATGTGTTAGAATACCCTTTTTAGCAATGGTACAACGCATATCTAACCATCTTCCCGTAGCAGCGGACTGATTACAAATGCCATTTGCGATGTTGTGAAATGCATGTCGCTTCCCCGTCACTTCACCTCAAACGCGACTTTCACATATTTATTCGACAACACTCAGAAATTTTCTTGCGAACTATATCGGCAGCGCATTTATTATGAATGCATAATAATAAAGTGAGGTGAGCTAGTAACGCTAACGCATTGGTAGGATTCATACACGTGTATTTTCTAGTGGCATGTCAGCGCTAAGATGTCCATAAGAGAGCAGGTTCTTAGAGGTATATCTCTCTACGGTAGACACAAATCTTTAAAGGTACAGCTCTGCCCATGCGTTCCCACTATGCAATTTCTCCCTTTCGCAACACACCCCACGATTGCCTACATGGACATTGCAACCTTCAACAATAAAAATATAAACAAATAAATACACCCCGCCGCCTTTTTAGAGTAGTGCACCCACCTTCACCGTCTTGCCGTCACGCTTGCCCTCAAATGTTACTCCGATCGTGAAGTGATCATCGATGGCCGTCTTCATGGTAGTGTACATCTTTATTTTGTATTCAGTGTCGCTCAGCTGATCTATGTCAAGGCTCGGACTAGCAGTCATCATCATCTTCGTCTTCATCGATCCCATACCTGCGGGGGAAACAAGGTGCATCGGATACTGGATTGGCCAGACAGAGACGCCAATTACCTAAATAAGAATTCAGGCGCGTTCAGTTACCTGCCTCTGAAACCAGGTACGTCGGTTATTGAAATGGCCAGACAGACGTCAATTACGTAAATAAGAATTCAGGTGCGTTCATTTACCTGCTTCCGAAACCAGGGGCCTGTTGGCAGAAACATGAATAGCAATGACCATGATAATGCTAAAATATCCTAACCTTTGCATTGTACTTCAAAGGTTATGCCATTTTTAAAACAGTACTCATGATATTTCTGAAAACGGGCCCCAAGTGTAACACGTCCAGTTATCTGCGCTACAAACTATGGCTGCTGGCGCGTGAGCTACATATTCGAGAAACCATTCGCTTTGGTCATCCTCCTCACGTGCAACGACGCTAAATTACTCATGAGCCACTGCATGATCTGCTACACAAATGAATGATTCATGGAGAACTATCTACTCGAAAGAAAATGTACACAAATGGAAACAAATCTAAAAGTTGAAAACGGCCAAAAGACATTCTGAAGCCATAAAGCCGATAGCTACCTTCAGATATCTCCATCACATTTAAATATAGCGTCGGTAAAATCGCGTTATGCAGTTACATCCAACGCATAAAACATATATGAAGTCTACAAAATAATTCAAGCTCATTTCGGACGAAAGCGCATTATAGCACGCATAGGATGGCTCTGTAATTGGCACATATATATATATATATATATATATATATATATATATATATATATATATATATATATATATATATATATATATATATATATATATATATATATACGTGCGTGCGTGCGTATGTACATACATATAGAACTTCACATAGCCACGTCTATACTTGTGAGGGAAACCGCTAGTTTCCAGCTGTTAGCGCCACCAGAATCTATGGTGAATATCATGTGAATATCATGTGAATCTATGGTGAAATAATGGTGTTCCAACGCGGAGAATTCTAAATCCTTTATCAGAGATACGGCGATATGATTTTAACGCCTCTTCTTTTACATGTGTTTTGACACAAGAGACCAAGTTTTCCAACCTAGCCGACAGGTGGCTCCAGATGTACTTCAGTATTTATGTTCTTGTTCGTCTGCTATATGTAGACAATTACGATTGTGCAAGTACATTCAGACTGATATTTAAATAACTCGAAAACCAATTGCAAGAGGAGAAATAACACGATTGTGGTGAAATTTTTGGTCTGAACTGCAACACGGAATATAGAGCACCGTAGGAATTGAAACATGTTCTTGGTGGACTAGCGGGGCGCTAACATTCAGGCAGCATGGGTTTTTTAAATCTGTCCTTTTCTACGCATCGTACATAGTACAGGCACTTGGAGCGTTTCATAAATATAATGCTAAATAAATACGAAATATATTTACTACCAAAGTCTTAATGTTTCTCTACTCTCCTTCACCTATTATTGCCGAGAAACCGTGCTGCAAATGCTCCAGCCACATCAAACACACCCACCGCACGCACGCTGCTGCGCTGCTGCACGCTATGCACACTTGCACATAAATATAAATATAAAAATAACTTTATATTTATGTGTAAGTGTGCATAGCGTGCAGCAGCGCAGCAGCGTGCGTGAGGTGGGCGTGTGTTTGCTGTGGCTGGAGCATTTGCAGCACGGCTTGTCGGCAATAATAGGTGAAGGAGAGTAGAGAAACATTAAGACTTTGGTAGTAAATGGATTTCGTATTTATTTAGCATTATATTTTATTGAAACGCTCCAAGTGCCTGTGGTACATAGCAGCGGCTATATGATATATAATTCGGTTTAACATGGAAATACGTGAAGTTTGAAAGAATCGATGTTCAAGGTCACGCACCCGCAGGTAGTAATAACCCCGTGCATGGTGCTGGCAAATAAACGATTCTAATCGCGGTGACTCACACATCTATGAGACTGGCGAGTGTGTGTGTGTGTGTGTGTGTGTGTGTGTGTGTGTGTGTGTGTGTGTGTGTGTGTGTGTGTGTGTGTGTGTGTGTGGTGGTGTGTGTGTGTGTGTGTGTGTGTGTGTNTAGTCCTGTACGTGATACACCCCCGAGATCTCCACACTAGTACTACTACTAGCTCCAAGAAACGGTCTTTGCTAGGGTTAGAAGACCTGTGTTGGTCAGGTTAGTACTACTACTAGTACTACTACTACTAGATTAGATAGCCCCGCCATGAGAAACACAACAGCGTTCACAGAATTGAAATTTCCTACCTATTGTAAGGTATAATGGCAAAACAGGACACTTTTTTGAGCATTTTCACCCATTTTTTGTAGTCAGACACATACTCATAGCTTCTAAGTTCTACCAAGTTCTACTAAGTTGCTCTCGTGGCCCAGTGGTTAGGCCACGTATACTGTCCACTGAAGGCTGTGGGTTCAAACCCCAGCCGGGGCAGTGAATTTTCTCAAGGTGTAAAAACCTGGCTCTCAACATTGGAGACTGTGAATCTCCCGTGGCTCGGATGACCACGTAAAATGGACCAGTATTAGTAAAATATAGTAATACTAAGACCAATGGGGACGTAAAAGAACCACTGAGGGCGCAAAAAAAAACTCTGGCTGTGACCACCCTCAGTGCCATTCAGCTAAAAAAGGCGAACTACCTGGCTGTACCCAAGCTAGGTCACACCCCATGGCTAGCTATAGCCCTGGACGTTTATTCCTTACGGACTGTCCAGTATAGATGTAGAAGTAGAAGTAATTTCTTGACCAATTTATCAAACGAAAGTTGCCATTCAAGTATAAATACCCGGCTAACTTCGCGGGTATTAAACGACATCATTTTGTTTACTCAGCATTATATTCCCCTATTTCTGTCCTTTAAAACAAGCCCAAGATCATTCTTCTGTGTGCTTGCATATATAGCAGTGACGAGTAAATTTAAGTTGATTAGTCACAAAAACAGTACACTTTCGAGGTAGTTTCCCATGCGCAGATGTAAACATGTTGCGGCTGCACTTGTCCGCGGCGCTTTGCATGATGGGAAATCCGTAAATATAGAAAAAATAAACGTATTTACGTCTCCGTAAATATGGAGATCAATAAGTCAACAAGCTAGATCACACACGTTCGACTTTCCTTATTTTGGAATGTAATTCGGGAGGCGCGGTAGTAGACTGCGTTCCAGTCGCAACACCAATTCTAACTTCAAGAGCTTTGTAAAATAAACTACACACAGCGAACCAGTCACGATAGATAGTAGATAGACTGTTCACGTACTGACACAAGCAGCCATAGCAACTGAATGAGGGGCAGCACGCGACCAAAGCACCAGTCTATTAGCGAGAGAGTCGAGCCGATACGGGAGTAGATGGAAGGTTAGCGTACTGATTATACGATCTGGTTTGTTTCTCATGTACGTATTTATTAAAACACAAGCGTATCTATACGCATACCTTTGAAAATTACATGCGTATTTGCATGAAATTCAGGCGTATTTACGCAAATACGCAAGCTATCTGGTGCACTGTCTATATATATTTAACTGTCGCCGTGCACGTACAGCACACGACCCGTATATATTTTATTGAAACGCTTCAAGTGCCTGTATGCACGGCGACAGTTAAATATATAGCTATATGTCGGGCTATATGCTATATAAGCTATATGTGCTATTATAGCTATATGTGCTATATATATTTTAATCTGCGTCGTGGCACAAGCACATCGGACCGCCTTCGTATATATTTTATTGAAGCCGTGGCT